TCATTGCCGCGCGCGGTCTCGGGCACGAAACAAATTTATCTCCGCATCGCGCGCAACCCCCTTGATTAATGTTCCCCGCGCCACAATGATATCCGATACGAAACGATAACGCTCGCGCCGCGCGGCGAGATGTGCGCGGGCACGGTGAAAGCTCACGAGCGTATAATGCGGCGTGCCGGCGCGGCGTGCGCAAAAATTGTAAAAGCCCCGGCAACGAGTCGGGGCAAGTCGATTTACCGCTATACAAACAGGCCGAGAAATAAACGTCATTTCGCGACCTTAACTAATGTCGCTTTAGATCGCGCGCCGAGCGAGTGTAATTAGCATCCGCCGCGGAACGAGAATTGGCACGAATCGACCGATTGTGAACGGGGAAGGTGGAGAAAGCAGGTAAAACTTTAATGCGCGCGAAATTCCGAGGACTTCCGTGTATCGCTTGCGACGATGTACACTGACCTTATCGTCGAATAATATCCGGTTCGTGCGGATAGAAAGAGAGAGAGCGAGAGAGAGAGAGAGAGAGAGAGAGAGAGAGAGAGAGAGAGAGAGAGAGAGAGAATATCTTATAGAAAAATATTTCAGCCGCGCAAAGCATGATTCGCAGGGCGTTATTTATGACGCCTTTAAGTATCTATAATAACGAACAATGTGTGGTGTAAAATATTGGAATAGCCATTCAACTGTTACGGCAACACATGCGAAGTGTGCTCACCAAAACGATCATGTACGCGTTCACGGGGAAAAAAAATAAAGCTCATATCGAAAAGAGGAGAAAAAGAGATCCAGTATGTGTGTATGTGGTGGTTGTGTGTGTGTGTGTGTGTATTTGTGTGGACGAGCACTCGTATAAAAAGAGCACCGTATGCAAATATTATACTGATTTATAACGCGGTTATAACGAAAGTTTGTGCAGTAACGATTTTGCCACTCGCGGTTGCGGCTCCGATTGGAATAAAGGAATTAAGAAGAGACGACGATCCTCCCCCGTAGGCGCGGGAGAGATGATCGCGATGCTCCGTACACGACGATTAAATAGCGCGTAATTTCTGCGCGATAACAATATCGTATTATATTAAAATTCTCAACGCAGGAACGCGCGAAACATCTCGTCTCGTGTAAAATGCGGACGATTTACGTAAGAGGTTGGAAGATAAGACCGTAGAAAGCCCCAATTAAAAAAAAAAAAAAACAAGGAAAGACGAGACGAGTGCAAACTGCGCGTATCGGGCCTGCAATCTTTCGACGGGCCTTACGCCAAGTTAATCAAATTCAATTAATAAAGATTAGTCGGATCCAGTTAATCGAAGGTCGCTTGAGATTAAGATCGAGAAGTTTGTGCGGCTTTTAACGTGTTAAGGAAGTTGCTTCACGGTTCCGTGTGAAACGCAGCTTCTACCAGGCTCGCGGCCAATTCGCGGTCACCAATCTCTCACCGGACCTCTCCCTCTCCCTTTCTCCCTCTCTCCTCTCTATCTCTCCCTCCCTCCCTCTCTCTCTCTCTTTTGCATGCGATATTTATCCCGCAAGGATGCACGGTGACGCGTGCAATTTCCGATGGAAGCGAGAGCTCGCCGCCAACGTGATTTAAAGGTTAAGCCGAGGTTGGCCGCGCGCGCGGTCGGCCAATCGACCGTAAGGGCTCCGTGGTTAAACTTAAATCAGACCTGCATTTAAGCCGGCCTCTCGATCGAGAGCGCTCGTTACATTCAATTCTCGCCCGTCTAAAGGGCCGATTAGGATACTCGAGGTCCACTGGCAGTGTCAGTTCGGCCCTAGGCTCTTGCTTGTCAGCGGCAAATGAATTACCGCGGGGTTGGCACGCAGGGAAATGAAAGCGGCGCGGGGTGTCGACGAAAATCTAGCCGGTAACGTAAACCAAGGGAGAAACGTCGCGAGTATTGTGTCAAATTTAAAAGAAAATTATTCTGTCGGTCGAATAAGAGATATAATGATGTAATACTGCAACGGACATCTGTAACCATTTCTATCGACGATGGTACTCTCGATATGATTTTAATAACAGGATTTGCGACGGTCAGTTGGTACACTGAAAAAAAAATCTGATAAATTCAACCAGTCGTCTGTTAGAAAATAGACGAATCAGAATTCCCTTTAGCATTTACCAGGTTTGTGGTCAAGTCTAGCAAACTTCTGGTTATGAAATATCTTTTATCTAAATCCTAAAGGAATTCTGATTCGTCCATTTTCTAACAGACGACTGGTTGAATCTATCAGACTTTTTTTCAGTGTATAATTTCGATATGACACCAGCCTGCATCTACCTCTCGTTATAGGCCCGGTTTCACCAAACGTCGCTTAACTTTAATCTTGGTTTAATTCAGGTTTGTCTCTTTCTGGAGTAACAGTTGGAAAGAAACAAGGAACGAATTAAGCTAAGCTTACACTGATAGAAAAATATAGTTGAAATAACCATAATTTCACTA